GTGGCGACCTTCTTTTAACACTCTATCTTCCATTTACAGAGTTGTCATATGTCGAAACCCGATTTCGTGAGAAAAAGGGGCACGACAGTTCTTCAAGTAAAAATTTGCATCGGTGAAGTGTGACTCAGCCTCAGTGAATGGCTCGTCATCAGCAACTATCTTCTTCTCGACTTCACCCTCGTAGTATTTTAAATATTGATGGTAGGTAGATGGAACCACTTTATTCTCTTGTATCCAAGGTCTTCCAAGCAAGACGTTGTATGAAGTCTTCGCATTGATCACAAGCAACCATGCACTTGATTGCATATCTTCTATGGTGATTCCCAACCTGATCACACTTATGGCTCTTTTCCCCCTTGGTTGAATCTTTGAATCATCACACAACTTTTCGAGAGTTCGTTCATGAGAATACCAAGTCCTTTCATAGTGAGAATTGGCAAGATGTTCACTAAGGATCCTCCATCAACCAAAATTTAGTTTACTCTTTCATCGTGCATATAGACAACCAGGTATAATGGGCGGTTATGTGGAGCATCACCTAGTAGAATATCGTCATTTGTGAACGTAACTTTTCCTCACAAGCATTAACTTCTTGAGGAATAGACTCGATGAGCTTTTCTAAAGATGGTGCCAGTGGTAGGTCATCACTCTTTTCTTCCCCTTTGTTAGCATTGCAACAAGAGGCCTTAATACCATTACGGGAAATCTTCATGCGGAACTAACATGGCAAGAAATCCTCCAAGGTCACTGGATGTCGTGGCTTTTGATGGTGGTGCACCTCCACTTTTTCTTTCTTCAAACGCCTAACTAGATTATGTTTCCTTGTTCTTTATACCATCATTTTCCTTGTTGGTTGTTCTTTTTATTCTTTTTGTGGATCTTTTTTGTGGCGCCTTCGATGAGTCACCGACGTCGAACCTTCATCATCATCAGAATGATCAACTTCAACCTTGTTGTTCTCCAGTAATTCTTCATCTTTACTTTCTTTGAAACTACATAATTCAGCTAAACTGAATTAGCCAAAGGTGATAGAGACTTGGTTCACGTTTGCTTTCTCATCTTCAAGCATAATCTTCTTTACACGAGCCAAGCTATAACCTTGTCCTTGAAGACAAAGCACTTCTCCGGAGGGTGGCTCACGAGTCGATGGTATTTGCAGTAATTTGGGTCATTCGTTTTCCCAACTTCATTTGGTCACTTCATCTCCGGAAGCTCAATGGGATTTAACTCAAGGAGTTCTTCAAAAATAGCTGGCACATCAGAATCCAGAAATGGGTACTCTTTTTCTTGCATTTCTTTTACAGTCAACTATCCGCTTGTCTTATCTTGAAAGGAAGTGGATTTCATACTTTGCTTCTTGATCACCTTCGTTGTGAACTTCACAGGTGATGTATTGACATTCATAGCTTCTTTGCCTTCAGACTTGGGTACAAGCTTGGTCCATTTTCTGACTTCTTGCTTGGCATTCCCTTTGTGAGGCACATAGATGGGCAGCCTTTCATTTCCAGCAGAGGCCATGATCAACTCCATGTCATGGGTACGAATCGCAAGTTCTTCAAATGTGCTAGGCTTGATACCTTGCAAGATGTAGCGTAGTCCCCAATGCATGCCTTGGATGCACATCTCTATGCCTGAAACTTCACTAAGCTTGTCTTTGCAGTTGAGGCTTGCATTCCTCCAACAATTGATAAAGTCGATAATTTGTTCACCCTTTTGTTGATGAGTATTTTTAAGTTCTAGCATACTCACAGTACGTCTCGTGCTATAAAAGCGATTGAGGAACTCTTGCTCTAGTTGATCCAGTTATCAATAAATTTAGCCTCGAGATCTGTGTACCAATCAAAAGTATTTCTTTTTAGTTAGCGGATAAACTAATTGATGAGGTAATCTCCATAAGTCCTAGCATTTTTGCATGTCTCAACGAAGTGCGACATATGTTGCTTTGGATTGCATTTGCCATCAAACTCTTGAACTTTTGGAGGTTGATAGCCAGCAGGCATCTTCAATATATTGATCCTTGAAGTTTACGGCTTTGCATAGGTAAGGGAGGACTTGGAAGCAACTTCATATTTGTTTTTTATAGTCCCTTTAATGAACTCCTTCAATTGATCGATTGGAATCATCCCTTCAGATGAGACAAGGACAGCCTTAGCGAATGCTACTTGTCTTGGGGGAGAATCACTCTCTGGAACTTTTGGGAGCCTGCTAGGTGCATGGGTGGATTCTCTTCCATCAAGATTCTCACCCTGCCTATTAGTTTGTCTAGCATATTGATTTTGCATGCACTTGGTCAAGCCTGCGATTGCTTCCATCAAGTTTGCCAACTGCTCCTCCACAGATGAAGTGTTTGTCACCATGACTTGTATGATTGTTGCGGACAATGGAGAATAGCATGGATTGTCACACAGATTGATCCTCGATTGGCTCACGCTATGCGATGTAAGTGGAGAGGATCCATTACTTAAAGCCTCATCATCTTCCTTCACAGCAAATTCTTGGATCCGGAGAGGTCAAGTACGCAAAATTGTTCTTAATCTTTTCAGCAACATTGCTTCCTCCTTCAGGTGTATTTGTAGAAGATCTTGCTCCTTTTGAGGACGAAAATTCGAAAATATGGGTTGATACGGACGACACTTGGAGTATTTTTTGTCCTAAAGAGCTTGCCTTGATCCTTGTATTTGGTCCAAAGCTTCCAAGGGTAACATCGAGGATGTTTTCTATATCAGCGTAGAACTTGGAATTAGCAGCCTTGGTAGAAGTTGATTTGGGGTTGATTTTCTTTGAAGCCATTTCAATGTTCTTAAACTTTGGTGATTGAAAAGTTGAGATGAGATGTAGATATTGTCCCATTGTATGCGCTAGAATTTATAGACAATATAGTTGCGTCGAGAAAATAAAATCAAGACCGAAAAATATTACAACAATCATAGTATTTGATTTCAAATAATATGAGTGTACGATCTCTATGAATCCTCGGATTCTTCTTTTTAATAGTAAATAAAATCAAGGGCCTCTGAGCTTGATCTTGAATCTATATTTGTTTCCACAAACGATGATCTTGAATTCAACTAGCACGATTTTTTATTTGAACTCCTGCTCCTTGAATCTTGATTTGTTCTTCGTTCTTGAGCTTGAACTTGATTTCTTGAACTTGAACTTGATTGCTTGAAGCTTGAAATTTGTAGAGAAATTTGTGGCGTTTGATCCACGAGCTCTCTCTTGTTTCTTGTTATAACTTCTGGTGTCTTTTCTAAGTTATGAAGACCCATATTTATAGTTGTTGGAGGGAAGAGTTGTGATGAGAGCAAACTCTCTCTGACCAATCAATTTGAAGAGTGACAATGACGCATTTGATTGGTCAGAACATGTCACTTGCACGCGATTTCATTAGCCTTTTAATTAGACTTGGCATGTCTTGTCATTTTGACACGTGACATGATCCCATTGACTCTTCTGTTTGACTTGGCGTGCCGCATCACTTGACACGTAGCACCAAACTAGGCCTCAAAGAAGATGACATCTTGGGCTTAATGAAGTGAGCTCATCACTTTTAGCCCACTTAAATGGGGTAGCCCAATGGATTAAGACTTATTTATTTAATCCATATATATTGGACCTATACAATTGATCTAGTTACATTAGCTCATAATATTTATTTGGACTAATATATCTTACTTAAAATATAATCCAAACAACTATGAATTAAATCTAATAAAATTTAAATGCCTGCACCTATCAATTAATATTATTTATCGATGCATAAAAAATGTTAATTTTGAAACTTACATCCCAATTTTGGAATCAATAAGACCGTATAATTTGATCTCTAACATGCTTCCATACCAATAATTACCCCTAAATGATGAATTAAGGGATTAAAGTTATTAAATACATTATTGTGTGTATTAGTTTAAAAGAATAAAATTTATATCAAAATCATTAGATTAACTATACCATAAAAGTATAAATTATTTCAGAATTATAATAACGTGATTTTGAACCAAGAATTTATTTAGGGGTCGTTTGGTTGGAATACAATTAATACCGGTATAAGTTATGCCAGTATAAGTTATATTGGTATAAGTTATGCTGGGATTAGTTATGCTGGATTGTTGTTTATTTATTGTTTGGTATGTTGTATTAACAATGACAATTACATAATTTCTAAGAAGAAGGTATAAGTTATACCGGTGCTAATTACCCCACCTTCTATAAGGTATAAATTATCCCAGTGTTAAAATTAACACCGGAATAACTTATACCTAGTTTGCTAACCAAATAGAGTATTAAGGTGGTATTAAATTTTTATACCATCTTTATACCTTCTTATACCTCCTACCAAACGACTCCTTATATGCATTAGATAATCTAATGCATACATTAACTTTGTGTATTAATAATACATTGATTGATAGACATTTTGAACATATGCATTAGTTATGCAAGCATTAATTATACATCTTATTTGGTATTATCCTACGCACAACTAATGCATAGAAAACAATGGTATTAGCAATGCAATGGGTTTTAATGCATGCATTAGCTTAGTTAAAGACAAAATTGTCCTTCAAAATTTATGCTTGATTAAAATATGTTAGTTAGTATATTATACAAGTTCAAAATAATCCAAATATTGAGAAATAAATTTATATCTCTAGTAAATAAATAAATACTTAGCATATTTCTTTTTTTATAAATAAATATTTAATTTAATTTTACAATATAGGCAGACAAATAAAATAATTTTTTTAAAACTTTTTCATATAAAAATATTTCTTAACATGTATTTCTTTTAAAAAGTTAGAGTATGGATTAATTTTGAGGGTATTTTTGTAAACAAACAATTCTTTTAGAAATTGTACAATGCTTTAATACATCAAACCAAATAATGGATAAGAAATATATCAACATAACTAATACCGGCATAACTAAGCAAGCATAACTAATACCTACATTACTAATACACCCTATTCAGCATTATTATTATGCACCCTAGCAAACGATCCTTAGCGTAAATTTTGGACGGAGGAGATTTTGACCGCCACCTAGCTCCGCCCCTGCCCGAGATGACTGTGGTATCGAAAGACTACAGTTAAGAACCATAATACCCGTAAATATAACGGTAGAAAGATAATACTAATATTTATCATGCAAATTGTGGGAAAATAGGAAATGGCACCTTCGAATTTCGAGTTAAATTCTTTGTTGGATTCTCATTTCTGAAATTTTCAATACAGATTTCTCGCTATCCCCCTTCGTGCATATAAATACGTAAAAAAATAACACATTTCTCAATTGCTGTGAAGATTGCTACTCTTTCTCTTTCCAACTGCTGCTCAGGTTAGATCATCATCTAAATTTCTGGGTTCATCTTTTTTCTTCTTCCTTTTTCGTTGTTTCTTTCATCTGTATGTTTGCGCAATACTGTATTATTATGATAACGATGCTTCTGAATTTGTGATAAATCAGTGATTTTTGTGGTTTTGAAGGGGTATAATTTGATCGGTTATTTAAAGGGGTAGATAGCAAGCAGAGGAAATGGGTAGGCTTTTTCTGATAAGTCTTGAAGGAAACAGCTACAAATGCAAGCACTGTAGAACTCATCTCGCGTTGGCTGATCACATCATTTCTAAGGTCCCCCCATTTCTCTATTTATCTATACATCCATGTGCTTACATCTGTATTACTGGTTGCATGTATGCTGCTGTTTTAATAATTAGAGGCGGATCCAATATTTTAATTCTATGGGTTTGGGAATTTAATGTTTGTAAATATTTACTAGTAGATTTCTTATCATATATACTGGGTCTTGGCTAAAGCTAGTGGTTCGGCCAAACAGGGGCGAATGTAGTGTGTTACCAACGGTTTCAATTGAATTCATAACTTTCGACGTAGACTAAAAATTTATATGTAAAAATGGCAGATATGAATCCATAACTTTAAAAATATAATGGTTCAATGCAAAACTCTTAAAAGTTGAACCCGTAGAATTTAAATCTTGGATCCGCCTCTGCAGTCGGACCCTTACCTTACTTTGTAAACCCACCCCTGTTTTAATGGATGATGTATATTTAGCTTATTTTCACTTAATTTCTATTTGATATGACGATGACATGAGTTAAGCTTAAATGAGGAAGTGAAGATTCATATAGGGACCTAACTTGTTTGGGACCGAGCATAGTTGTTGTTGTTGTTGCTGTTTTATGAATATGCAGGAGGACTTGAAATTTTATAAGTTTTATTGCTTTATGTAGTGACATTTTCTTAAGCTAGAAGAGAAGCGGCGGTACCATATATATTTTGCTATCTTGAGAGCTGATTAAATTCTACACTTTGGAAACTGATCTGAGTAGAGCGGAATGGATACAGTAGAGCGGAATGGATACAGAGGATGCATATAACTGGCCATAACTAATATAGTAATCGAGGCATAGATGATTGATTGATCTTTAGTGCTGATGTTGTTTCTTGGAGCTATTGCATACATTTGGTCAAAATGTTGTTCTTCTTGTACAACGGATTAGCATGGTCTAATGCAAATTCCTTACTGCCATCTGTAGCTATGTGATATTTATTACCTGATTGCTAATAGAGAAAGAATATAGTTATATTATCTAGTATAGTTCTATACTCTGATCCCAAAGGAAAAGAGAAACGGAAAAACTTTCTATTTGTTGGAACAGGCCGAGAGACTTAGAGGGTGGGCCATGCTGCGGATAATCATGCTCAAGAGTCAAGGCCAACGCTTTCCTATGGCCTCTCAGAGCTTTTAGGTGTGGGGGAAGGAGGTTGGCAGGTGTGGGAGGCAGTGATAGTAGTTCCAGTCAGTCCTTAGTCTATTTAGAGTTTCCACTCTGCAGGGCTGCTTGATTAGTCCTTTAAACTTCAGTAATATACTGAATGTTGCTCCATCTACCTTGGTTGTGTGATGTGCCTCCCAGAGCTTTGGATTGTTAGGGAACTATTTCTTCTAGTGTGCTTTTAGAAATGCCAGATTGAGATTATTATCACTAGATGGTGGTGGTTTCAATGACATTGGTCTAATTCATTCTCAAGTTTTTCCTGAGAAATTGGGTAGCCTAAGTGAAGCCAATGTTCTGAGGTCAAGTTTGCGGTGCACAACTGCCCATAATGGACTTCTGTTACAAGGGAGTCTTATCTGTTGGTTTTCTCTGGATTCTGGACATGCAACCCTGATTGGTCAAAATTTGTGATTGTAGATATAGTAGGATTGTGGGAATGTGTTGTCCTTGGCAGGATTCACATGATACTGCCGCACAATCATTTACCTATCTATCTATAGAAGAAAATTTTGGTCCGAACATAATGCTTGGTGTTTACTGTAGTATCCGGTCATTCTAATACTCAATATCCCAATATATCACCAATGAAATTTTGTTATATTACCCATGGTAGAAGAAGTCAGCTATTTGATGTTGTCAGGCAAGATCTAACAACCAAATAGAGCAACTGACCTTACTTCTTTTACTGACAACATACTTTACGTGATGAATGTAATGATTCTTATTTATAAGTTATATTTGTTATTTTTTCCATCTATAAGTTTATCCTTCAGTCCTACTGGGTCGGTTCCATTTTACCATGACAAAGTTTGGATAATTTTTCATTTGTTGTTATCAGTTTTATATAAGGGCACCAGCAAAACTGGTCCTTAGTCTAACTTTTCAACCATCTTGTTCAATCTAGTGCTATCTTATTCCTATCTCAGTGAGTATTGAACTCGCTAGGTTATTTGGAATTTAAATGAAATTGGTCACTTTCTAATGGCTACCCTTGAAGAGACCACATTGAACCATCATATTCAATCTATTGCTATGTTGTTCCTATCTCAGTGAGTATTGAACTCTCTAGGCTATTTCGCATATAAATGAAGTTAGTCAGTTTCCAATAGCTATTCCCTTGAAGAGAGCACCTTGGCCGTTATAACAAGCTTTGCTGATGCTATTAGTAGTTCTTACTGGTTTTATTCCTGGTTTCTGGATTATGCTGTCTTCATGCTACTAACTACAAACTGGATGGCTTACACACGATTACATCACGTTTGCTGTGATATTTATGCTTCACATATATGTATTCTACGATGACCTTTGAGTTTTTCTACAGTCATTCCACTGCAGTCATGGGAAGGCTTACCTCTTTGATAACGTGTAAGTGCTCTTGTCTCTTGTGATGCTCAAAATTACCTGCAATTTCATATGGACCCGCTGGTAACCTTTTTCAATTGATTGAAGCACTAGCAATGTATTTACTTGCGGTCACATCGCTCTTAGCATTTTCTGGAGATGAAATAGTTTAGCCTGTTGAGTTATGTAACAGTATCACATGAAATTCAGTTTCACATTTCTCAGATGCTACTTTGGGGACGGACTTAGTAGACACCATCATCACATCCAAAGCTTCATGCTTTGAACTTCCAATGGTATGTATTACGTCGTGCTCCTCTTTTGCGTATTGCAGTGTGAATGTCACTGTTGGAGAGAAAGAAGACCGGATGATGATGACAGGAATGCACACTGTTGTGGATATATTCTGCGTAGGATGTGGCTCAATTGTGGGGTGGAAATATGTGAGTTTCATGTTCATCAAAGATCTGATTTTTAACTCTTTCGTCTCATCTCTAGTTACCCTGACATTCGTACTGACAACTCTTAAATAATTCCAGGAAGCCGCACATGACAAGAACCAAAAGTACAAGGAAGGCAAGTTCATTCTTGAGAGGTATATATTTAGTGTAATTTTGCGCTTCAGTGTGGCGTTTTGTCGTTTCAAGAGTCTCATTTCTTTTCTTTTTTTTGGATCTTGCTAAAAAGGTTTAAGATCGAGAATCCAGATGGAACCCTCTATGCATTAAGCCAAGATTCTCAGATCGGAAGTGATGCAGATGAACCTTGAGTGGCCATTCTATCATGCCATTAATAATCAAATCTCTCTTTTCAACTGTACATTATTTCTGACTTCCTGCGCTTGTTGGTACAAGCAATCTTGATCTTCAGTTAGTATAGATGCTAATAGCCACTATAGTCAAGTTTTGCAGGATATTTTTTGAACAGGGTCGGGTCGGGTCGGATATAGGCGGGTCAAACCCGGGTAATGCAAAAAACGAATAAATTATCCGAGCTGACCCATATTTAATACGGATAGAAAATGGATTAAGTGGACCTACCCATATTATCCATGGCTTTTTGAATATCATCACTCTTTTTAAATATGATCACTTTTGGAAGAATTCCTAGTCTCCCAAGCTTGAGTAATCCCCAATTAAAGTCTTTATAAACGTAAAAGTTAAACTCATTAGTTATCTATTTTCTAAGTGGATAATATGATTGTTATCCATATTTGACTCGTTTTTAATAAGTGTAAAAATTGCACGGGGCACCCTATTTGGTCGCCCTCATTTTTTTTAAAAAACTTTTAACTTGTACCCACTTTTTAAACAACTTCAACTCCCTTTTTCCTCCTTCTCCTCCTTCATTTTCTTTTTTCTTCTTCTACAACGATGACTTCAACATTGCTCTCTTTCTTCAGATTTAGATAAGAAACTTCATGCACCTGTTCCTAATTTCCAAAGGCATCAATGTGCTTGCTGCTTTGTTGGTCATTCGGAAGAAATCAGCATTGATGAGTAAAATGAGAGGAATGCATCTAAAACTGATGATTCAAATGAGAAAAGATGCCTCACTGACAATGTCTTAAACATTAACTATTCTTGATCCAAGATAGCAATGGCAGGACATGAGACCTAAATCAATTTCTTAGTGACTTTTGCCATTACAGAGAAGCTTTTGTTATGTAAGGCGATTAGTATATGTATATGTACAAAGGATTTGTTACCTATATTTGCTTAGCTTATCACTTTTTTTTTCACGCAAGGAAGACCAGATATTTCACGATCCTTCTCTTTCATAATCAAACAGAAACTGATCATACCTGCAGTTGAAGTCTTTCCCCAACTTAGTGGCAGCTTCTTCCAACAACTGAACAACTCCAACTTTTGGCGAGCTGTGCAGTTTATTTTTTTCAAAGGCCAGAGCTGAAGTTTCGTCAGTTACAAAACAAAAACTTCAGCTCTAGAGCTGAGCTTCAGGCCCGGCTACTAGAATGCTGAAGTTTTACGTGATTGCCTTTGCTACTTCAGCCCCGTGTGCTGAAGTTATGCGAAAAAGCGGGTACACTTGTAATTTTTTTTGCAAAGCGGGCACAAGTTAAAATGTGACACAAAAAATGGGTATAAATGCAAATGCCCCTTAAAAAGTTCATTATCCAACCCATTTTTAATGAATAACACGGGTGAATAACTATTTTTTAAATAAGTGGTCTTTAAGTGCAACCCGATATCTCCTGTTAAAGAGTTCTTATTCCATTATGGTCATTCGGCCAATAATGGAATGTCATAAAATAGCCAAAGACTAGTCTATCATTGATTTTAGATATAAAAGATAAATATAAAAAAATTATTGTTAAATCAGCTGCAGTGATTATGTGATATGCAGTTCAAATATGACGTTCTCTTGACGATTGGTTGTATCATAGGACAAATCGTCTTTATTCACAAAATGACCTAACTTCCGATTCATAACATAGATTTAGTCAAATCTATTTGTGTATTTAATTATATATAGCATGAAAACATAATCAGAAAAAAATATATTAATGGTTTACTTACAAATTGGAGATACAAGGAACTTGACAAATATTCCATACGTCTGACCATTTCCTCAAACAACAAATTAAACTTGAGATATATCTATAGCGGAGTCAATTTTCTTTATCTTTCAACGCGATAACTTAGATCATAGATGCGGCCTTTATTTTGACCTTTTTTTATCCTTTGTTGGTGCCCGTCCCTTTCTCCTAAGACTCATCCCAAAAGACTTCTGATAATTTCTTAAACAAAATAATAATAATAATAATAATAATAATAATAATAATAATAATTAAAAGAGTGATTAGAATTTAGAACATCTAGTCCAATTATAAAGTTGTACCAAAGAGTGATAGGGGGATGAGCGAGAATTAACAAAAAAAATATTAACAGTAATTTGGAGGAGTTGGCCCGCGGTGAAGTTAAAATTTCGTTAAAGAGTGTTCAAGATTTAATATGTATACATAAAAAGTTAATATTTAACCTGTGTATAAAATATATAATTTTCTGGGTAAAAATGTTCAACTAACCACCCTTATGTGTATGATGTTATTGATATTACTTTCTTGGTTATTGAAATTTAAACTCGAAATACAGTGCTCTAAGTTATGGCCTCTTGGCCATCAACCTGTTCTAACTGGTATTTCCAATGATGATAATTTGAAAAAAAAAATGTTAATTTTGAAAGTTCTAAATAAAGAATAGGGTGTAAGTCAAGTAAAAGCAACTTAAACCTCATGAAAATATTAGAAATTTTCAAACAGTTTTATGACTTTTAATTCTTTTTCTTGTTGGAAAGTTTAGGTGAAAGAAACTTGATGTAAAGAAATCAGCGCTTTGCTTTTATATTTCAAACTCGACAATAAGGGACGTACTAAGTCAAATTTCACCATGTAAAAATTAAAGTTATTCTAATAACATATAATAAGCGCATTTAATTTTCTTTTATAGAAATGGAATTAAACGGGCTTTCATTTTTTGACTTGTTCTTAGTTTCATTCTTTAATCTTCCTTAATTTCTTATGTTCGGAATAATTAATTAATTGATTTTTTTACTTTTTGTTTCTTTATTAACCTCAAGTTCCACACGTACTTGAATAATCTTAAACTAGCCTCTAATTAACCAGTCATAGTATTAGTTATAAAGTACTCCCTCTATGCGCTTTTAGTCGTTCATTTTGGACTATTCAAGCCCTTTAAGAAAATAATTGAAAAGTGTACTTTATAATTTTACCCATAATAATGACAATATTTTCAAAAGTTTTGGGAAATAATTTGAGGAATGAGTTAGTTGTTCACTTTAGACTTTTCACGTCCTTTGAGAAACAATAATTGAAATATATTTTTATAATTTTGTTCATAATAATGATAGCATTTTCAAAAGTCTTAAAAAATAATTTGGGGAATGAGTAGTGAATGATAAGAGTAAAATATAAAGAAAAAAAAAAGATTGTCTTCTTTTCATTTAATATAAGTAAAAGTGAAAGGAGGGATTAGTTGTATTAAACATTTCTTTTCCAACTGAAAGTGCCACAAAACAGCTGGAGTTGTTCACCTGGTGATCTTATCCATAAATAGGTCCTAGGTTGACTGCTTCATAAGACACATTGACTCAACTTTGGATGGTACGACTCTTGATCCAGTCCTGAATTACGAGGATCAAGTCAAGGCTGAAATAAATAAGAGTTTTGGACTTTGTCGTACCTATGGATCAAAATATACTTTTCGTTTAATTATTTTTTACTTTTTAAAAAAAAAGATTTTATGGATAAATATTTCGAGTTATAATTTAATTTATCCCTTGATTCCCTACGATTTGTTATCAGTAATTCGAGGGTCTTAGCGGCGTATTTCTCAAATGTAGGATGATATGTGATGTATTTGATGATCAAAAAGAATATAGCAGCACTCTATTTGGATCTTGAATGTTGCTAGAACTTTGAGCAAGACATATTTGACATGTGTATATAGGTAAAAGCGGTCTCGTAGTACATTCCGGTCTCCGACATGATAAGCCAAACTCGAGATATGGTAACTGGGGGCCTAGACCGAGGTAGAGATCTCATCAATTCTGAGTCCGGACTATAACGCCCGCCCTCGAGGATATCGGGGTCATGAATCGGGATCGGTCCTGGCCTCGTTCAACTTTGGAGAACGTTGTCAGGCAGTCAAGCTAGGCCAATAGAAGGTCGTGATGTCCGTGACCGACCGAATATCACGGCGGAGATCTCGGCATATATCAACGTGGGATTGGCAATCAATTAATTAGAGGATTTTTACCTTTTATAGAGTTGTACCTAATATAGGACTTCCCCTACTATATAAAGGGGGTCTGATTACTTGTAAAAGATATTGTAACACGCATTCCAAAGCAATAAAATATAGTATTTTCTCTTTAAGCTCTTATTCAACTGTGCCTTGATACCGATCGAAGTGCATCCTGTTCAAGGGTAGCTAACCCCCCAAAACTGTAACTGTTCAATTTTTGTTGTTTGAATTCATTTCATCATTGTTTATTTCATTTTAAATTTGATTTATCTCTTTGTGTCAAATTAATCCACTATCCTTAAAATCACTTAAAATTTTAATTGTTATCCGACTTTAAGGGTAAACAGTTTAGCGCCCACTGTGGGGCTAAGAATAATATTGGTTATTTGATACAAATTTTCATAACACACACTACTTTACACTTGTTCTTTGAAGTGCCTCTAATTTCAGGTTCAAACTCAAAAATGTCGAGCTCTCAATCAGCACCCCTACATGTTGGCAATGAGTCCAGTCATCATGGTGAAAATAAAAATATAGCGCCCGGTAACGAGGTACCACCCGTTGATCCCGTCGGAATTCCAATCGCAGACCCATTTGATGTTAACTTACATGTGGCCATCGACACAAATCTGCCTACCGACCCCGAGAATAGCATCCGTGGTGGAGCCCGATCGGCAGCTCAAAATACTCAAAATAATGGAGGAGACGGGATAATTTGACGGATGGTCTTCGAAATGTTACAGGCTCAACAGATGGCGATAGTTTAGTTATAGAACCAAAGCCGAGCATCGAGCAGAATTGAACCCGATCTGTCCCGGGAAGTCACCCGCAGGGACAAACCGATTGCAGAGAGGTTGAATGAAAACGAATCGGGGACTAACCCCGAGATCATAAAAATGCTCGAGGAACTGATAAAACGAGTAGAATCAGGGGAGAAAAAAATCAAAGCCAATGACAAAAAGGTAGAAACCTACAATTCCAGGGTCGACCAAATCCCGGGAGCGCCGTCGATACTGAAAGGCCTGGATTCCAAGAAGTTCGTACAAAAACCTTTCCCTCCGAGCACGGCTCCAAAGCTGATCCCTAAGAAACGCATGCCTGAGATTCCTAAGTACAATGGAACGACCGACCCAAACGAGCATGTTACCTCCTACACATGCGCCATCAAAGCGAACGACTTGGAGGATGATGAGATCGAGTCTGTCTTGTTGAAGAAATTCGGAGAGACCTTGTCAAAGGAAGCTATGATATGG